AAAAGGACAAGAGTAACTGAACATTCAATAAATATCATCCAAAATACGAACAATTATGAGTGAAACTAAGTATATTAAAAGAAATAACCTAGATTTGACTATTTTAATCAATCAATAAAATTTTGATTTTTAATATGTATTTTTTTGCTTTAATTTATAAGTTAATGCATAAGATGAATAATAAATAAAATGTTTTACATACGTATATGCTAATAACAAACCTCTGAAAAGGTTGTCTCCAGCGACGCGTTCTACATATGTATATATATGTTGTTGATTCAAGGATTCTATTTCCTAAATATCGCAAAAGACATTTATCCATACTAATATTATAAATGCGAAAGTAATTCTGTTTGTCCGTCTGACTGTTAAATTTTCACGTTTAATCTGCTGAACCGATTTAGATGAAATTTGTATGGAGATAGTTTGAGAACCTGGGAAGGACATAGGACAGTTTTTATTTGGGAAATCATCCTTTAAGGCGGTAAAAGGGGGGTGGAAGTTTGTTAGGTTTAACAAAGTTTAACTTAAAAAAACCTACAGAAAAGTCCGCATTATCAAGCATGAGTCTACCTCCTAAGGTATACTCACAATAGTTTATGTTTAAAAAGTACCTACGGACGCACCCGAGTGCAGCGAAGTAGCTTGGTACAAATAAAACCTTAAAAGGGTAACGATTTCCACAGAACTAATCTTCATAATGCATTTAAATCTAATTAAAATTTTTGGTGCAAATAACCCTAAAACTATTATCGATGGAAATTTCGAACAAATCAAAAAAAGTTTTTATGAGAAATATGTAAATAAAACATGTACCTACTATATACCTTTATCATATTATTAACTCTGGTATATGACAGATCTTAAATATTCCAGTTACACACAACACATGATTTATACGCATCGCCACAATACTAGCAGGAAATCCCTCGTCCGAATACATGGTTTTTTTATAGAGTGAATATTGACATGGGAATGGTCAAACACCCATGGGCTAGGTATATATATACGAGGTAGACAAATAAAATTTTATTGAGAAAATAAAATGTAATTTAGATTTCTTGATAATGCATCATTCATTTGTAATACTGACTTTACTTACAGTTGACGTTGTTAATTAAGTATATTTTGAGTTTCCCGGAAATATATTTTGCCTAAATAACATCGGTATCTTTCAATGAACTTTGTATTCGCCGTGTACGCACATAAAATAACAAAATAAATTGGCTTGTTGAATTCAATTCCCATTATAATTATGTTGGATATGGGAGTGAGTACCTTAGCCTATTTATACGTTGCCATTACTTGATATTCTTTTAAAAGCTAAGCAAAATAGCAGGAACTGTTATATCAATATTGTGTCATATCATATCAATATTGATTGATATTACTTTACAAAAAAGGTGATGGGTTTGAGTCCGTATGAAACATGATTTACATATTATAAATGCTTCTTTCAGTTTGGTAAATAAAATATTAGATGATTATTAACTACCACCGTAAAATAAAATACTCATGTTGATGTCATAATTTCTTATTGAAAACAATTTTATCAAAATGATAATAGTCGAGAATAATGTGTTTTTTTATTAGGAAAAGAATTGCCATAATAGGCTTTAACATTATCTTCTCTAGTATACATTAATAAAATTATGTGAAGTGAGAATTGAGGATTATAATATATGAAACTAGCGACTCACCCTCGCTTCGCTTTGGTTCGTCCCTAGCTTGCTTCATAATACAAACTTTCATCCCCGTTTTCACCCTCTAAGGGATGATTTCCGAGATAAAATCTATGTCCATCCCAGGGTCTTAAACGATCTTCTTACCAAATTTCATCTAAATCGGTTTAGTAGATCCAGAGTACCCCCTACAACGTCACAAACTCACAAACTTTACCTCTTTATAATATTAGTATTTATAGATTAGATTAATTAGATTTTTCCATGTTTTAGGCCGACATAGGTATCACTTTGCCTTACCAAAACCCAAACAACTTTCGCACCATAAAATTAGCAGAATTTGCTCCCATAATTTGTATGGTAAAACCGCATTCGCACCTCATCAGAGCACTAAACATATTTCAAGGGTTTATTTCGTATGTAATTTGTGTTTCTACTTCAACAAGTATATTTAGAGTTAAATTACTAAGTTAAGCTTATAGATCTTCGCAATAGCGCAGCTGCGCTTGGAAGCGGTATTCTTCTGACCAAGTTTGTTTTATCAAATTTGTAACTACAACAAATAGTTGAATTTAAATTTTTGAAAAGAATAATGAAAGTAGTATTATCTAATTTAAATGAACTAAGCGCTCTAACCAAAAAATCTGTTTATAGAGTTCCCTTTTAAGCATTTATCACTCAATTTCAACTTCATTCGTTAGATACACGCATGTTCTGTTTTTCATAGTAATCTCATTTCATCTTTTCATTATTAATATAAATAGACAAAGTAGCCAGTCAGTACCTTTTTTTCCTCTGCTCCGCAGATCTCAGATCAGATCAAGATCCAACCAATATTCTATTTTTTGTTTAGTGCCAAGTTTTAGTTTTATCAATAAAAAGTTTTGGAAACAGTTTTTTGTATCGATGGGTAAATTCTACTAATATAATGTATTTCTTTATCAATAATAATTATTGTTGAATTTCAATCCATAGACGACACATAAATATTATTAATTCATCTACACACCGATCGATCTTTAAATTAATTTCAACATATATAAATATTAAACAAGTAAATTCATTCATATCAAACCAATCCCAATTTATAATACGAAATCTGAATACAATCTTACCAACCGCTTCCAATTCGTAATTCACGCATCCCTAATTTGTTTCCATAAACTCGGATTGCAAAAAGCTACAATACATTATAACCACGAACTGTACGAGTTACAGTAATTTTCAGTATACTGAAAAAGGTCTAATCAAGCCAAATGTGAACACGATGAAACATATTTGGGTTTTCCTTGTATTTGTTGAAATTTCCACATTTTGGTTAACAGAAATAAGTTCTATTAAGAAAAAAAGTAATCAGCGATATTGAAAGTAGAATAATTGTTATGTTTATTGAAATCTTATTTAATGATTTTAACGTACAGTTATATAGAGCAATCGAAATCCGTTTATTTTTAAGAGAAAAAAGAAGATTTTGTTCCCGAACCGGGTTCCGATTGGACTAGATATATATTATTCTAATGTTATAGAAACGTCGAGCAATATGTATGTACGTACTTAAAATTGTAAATAAATTATAAAATTGCAACCCACAATTTTCAAACAATAGCAATATACTAATTTGAATTATTATTATTATTATTTTAAATTGACAAGTGCTTCCGTGCCAATTCTCTTCTCTCACCAATTAATTTTGTGTGGTCGTCAGTGATAGCTATAAAATAACTTTTGAGACTTCGAACACCTTAGTCTCTCCCGTGACCATGTTTACTGTAAAACATTCGAAACGTCGCGAATCAAATAACAGAATAAATCCTCGAAAAAACCAAAAAGATATTTTTATATAAAATGACAATTTGTATATCTTGAATTTAGACTAAAATAATGACATTAGATGGAACGTACAAAAGAAAAGACTGAAGGCTGAAATGGTATTACAATTAAATAGTCCCTAATATTGTTTCCGCTGCTCTGCCAGTGTGTAGATACCAAATTAAATAAAACTGGTTAATTTATAGTTGCTGACTGTTAATAGTAAAATTTCATCCGAAAATTATTCAAAATAGTATTAGTTAAAATCAAATAATTTTAGTCTGCAATGTTTTCTACATTGACAGTATTTTCATGGTTCATACTACGTATACCTATGCATTCTCTCATATATTTTCCTTAGTCTTTAGATTTTTGGTGATCGTGACTGTACATGACAGGTGTGTATTTACGTATTTACAGTCTTCTTTAATAGTACTTAATATGAGACTACTTTATACTTATTGAATTTAATATTTTTAAATATATTTAAAACTTAAGATTATTTTAATTAAAACTTGAATTTAAAATTGATTTACTCTTACAACTTATTTATTAAAAAAAAATTAAGGTCTGTGAAAATAAAATTTAAAAAATACGAGTGTGTAAACCAATTTATTTAACAGGTAGGTGTAATGATGCTAATTGTACACTTAATAAAAACTTTTTTGTGAAAATTAAAATTATTTTTATACATAACTTTAGTTATTAAACATTCCCCTATGGGCCCCAAAATGACTGGAGCAATTTTGATGAAATTTTGAGGCAATCTTCAGCCCAGCGGGTGATCCTGTGAAGTTTGTAGCGATAGGAAGTTTAAGCGCAGGCAAAGCGTACGCATACTGCTAGTATGTACTAAAAAGCTACGTAAACGTACGTACTTCATCTTCTCTACTGCGTGCTGTTCTACCCTTCTTCTCCTTTCTACCTTAGAGAGCGTTTCCAGTTTTTGAGTGATACCCATACTCTTCCACTTCGCTCTAGTGAAACGTTGTTGCTTAAAATTCCTTCTCACTCCTCCTGTTTCCTTACCAACTCCTTCGCAGTAAAGGCTGCACGCTTATGGAATAATCTTCCAATAGACATCAGGCATGCCAAAAGTTTTAATAATTTTAAGGTACAGTTAAAATCATATTATTTGTCTCTATAGTATCTTCTATTGAACTTTTTATACTTTTTCATCTGATCTACATTTATGTATGTATGCATTGTATCTATGCATTTATGTATGTATGTATGTATTATGTATGTATGTATGTGTGTGTATGAATGTATGTATGTATATATGTATGTATGTATTTATGTATATCTGTATTTAGGATATGCAATTGTGTGTAGTAAGTACACCGCCTACCATTTCATATAATTTCTCCTACGCCCTAAGGTTGCCTGGAAGAGATCGCTTATAGCGATAAGGCCGCCTGCTGTGCATCATCTATTGTTTATATCTTCTTTTTGTATATTTATTTGTGGTGTACAATAAAGCATCTATCTATCTATCTAAATACTTACGTTTGGCGCTAACACCCACTGAAATGACTAGTACGGCAATGACGGACAGTGTCAAGATATTTTGCGCCATTTTCCTGCGAAAGAAAACATATTATATAAGCAAATTTTATCTCGTTTTATGCATTCCTATTAGATTGTTAATTACAGGTCTAATATTAATATATAACAAGTGTAAGCGTAAATACTCGTGCTTGTTCAAAGGCGACTAGAGGCAAATTGGGTGCTGGGCCGATGTCATTTCGACCATCTTTGATTTTATGAAAACAGCACCGTGAATCACGGATTCGATTCTCACACCTTGCAATCTATTTGTCTATTGTTATTTCATTTGCTGTCTATATTATAAAGAGGTAAAGTTTGTGAGTTTGTGACGTTGTAAGGGATCTCTGGATCTACGGAACCGATTTAGATGAAATTCGGTAAGAAGATAGTTTGAGACCCGAAAACATCCTTTAAGGGGGTGAAAATTAGGATGAAAGATTCTATGGAGAATCAAGCTAGGGACGAACCCGAGCGAAGCGAGGGTGAGTCGCTAGTAATACTCTAAAGAGGCAGAGTTTGTTGGTTTCTTCTTATCTCATTATCATCAGAATCTTAGGAACTACTAATCCAATTTGTAAAATTCTTTTTGCATTAGATAGCCCGTTTATTGATGAAGGCTATAAGATATATATCATGTAATATATAGTCTATATATTCCATACTAACCGTTAAAATATACCGTAATTACAATGTATGTAATGTAATACATTAGAAAATGATCTCAAGTTTGACATTCTTTATGTCAAATTTAAACCAGCATCTGTATACCGGGATTTAAATTCGCTATACACCAAAAAAGATCAAATTATTAACAAACATTTACTCTCCGTAACTGAGGTATACTATATTATGTATAGCTGTATATAGTTATAATTTTTTTAAGATATTTCTAAGCAATCTTATTTTTGTACGAAGCCATTAATATCCATGAAAAATTTGCGTATTTCTACTAAAAAAAGCAAAATACTAATTAATAAGCTTTGACGCTGAAGGCTTCACCAAACAACGATAAAAGAAAATTATAATGGTAATTATTTTCTTTATAGACTATTTTTAAAATAGCAGAATATTACCCGAACTTGAAAAGAATAAGTTTCACCTTCTAACTTTATATAAATTAGTAATAAATATAGTAAAAAGACGATACATTTTACCACTAGTTTTAAAACAAAATGCCTTCGTCCAAGAAAACGAATTAATATTGACTATCTGGCAGTGAAAGTCCCGTCAAAGTTATTCCAGCCGTTTCGGAGGTTAGAGTAAGTTAGGAAAAAAATGTTAAAATTGTGTTTTTCTTATAAGTATCGTATATAATTTCTTATGCATTTAGTAAAAAGCTGTCATTTTACATTACAAACAGACACTTAATTTTATTTATTTGTATAGATAAATGAACGATAGGTACATAGGAACGATATAATTAAGTTAGATAGTTGGAATAAGAGAACTTTTAGTAAAAACAAACCATGCAACAAGGTAAGTAATTTATGGGTGTTCTTAGTATAAGTATATCTATATCTATACATATAATAAAATTGTAACTAAACCGAATCTGTACATTAAATATTTTTTGGAAAATGTTATTGAAATAAACATCATTATCGATATAGAGACCAAATCTTTAATTTTTTGAATTTTTGACTGTCTGTCTGTCTGTTACCACATCACAGAAAAACCACTGGAGTGATTTTGATGAAATTTAGTATGGTGATAGCTGGTTATCCGGGTCAACATAAAGGATACTTTTTACCGCGGGAAAATATCTCCTTTCTGAGAAAAAATACAAAAACTGCAATGATATGAAATACTCTTAGTATACTAATATGTAAAATCTAAGAATTTGGTTATTGATCTGAACGCGGGTGGAGCCGCGGGCAATGCTAGTATAGCTAATATGATTCATGTGACATGCTCGATAGCTTGCGGTACCTAAGCTTAGAAAGTTTATCCGTGCGAACGGTGAAACGCTACTGTGCAGTGGCCTAATTGAGTTTTGCCGAATGAAGCATTGAAATTTCATTATACTCGTCCAATGCTAAGGCTTGCAAAAGCAAATGTTCTCTATTTAATCTAGCATAAAGATGAATCTGAATGCATGGTTGATTTCTGAAATTTGATTAAAAAAGATATGAATTGTCTTAAAAAAATTTTTTTACTTTTTATTAATCTATAAGATTAAGGTTTTAGGTATATACGATACATTAACCATAATTAATAGTTATCGTAAAATCTATACATATAATAAAATCCTAACTGAGTCGAATCTTACTTTTTACTGAGAAATTTATACTAACCCATAAAACATATCTAGGGACGAACCCGAGCGGAGCGCGAGTGAGTAAGAAATAAAAAAAAATTCTTTCGTCTTTTAAATTCTATGATGACATATCGTTGGCTCACTATTACAAGTTTCTATGTTATTTTAATAAAGTTTAGTAATTTTTACATCTTCTACACTTCGTTATTTTGTTATCGTAAAAAAAACAACATAGAACTATGTAAAATTGAATATTTTGAAACTATAGTGCCGCTATCTAGTGGTTTGTTTTTGCAAAACTGTAGCTAATGACACATAAAACCTTGTCACATTAATAACTAAATAAGTACTAAAATTGTAACATAGAACCTTGTAATTGTGAGCCAACGATATCTAAAGTTTTCAACTGTCAAAAAACTACAAAACAATTTTTGTACTTTTTTGACAGTTACTAAACGAACGAAACTATAAACAAAAAACAAGACAAATGTTTCAGTTCAATGATATTATAATAGATAATAGCCTATGTCACGTATACTACATATCTATATGATATACTCGTAGGTAATAAAGGGTTACCCAAAATATACACATCAATAATGTGATACACGTTACTATACTAGGAGAGTAGAGTCATTTTTAGCTTTTAACTTGCTGAAATATACGCTTCGTATAATAGAATTAATGAATATTCATTTGTTTTAATTAATTAAGTTATTTGGCTCTATATCGTGAAACAACGATGCAAAAGCTAAAATAAAGCATACTTATTTGTATGATTCGAAATATTTTTGTACATCATCTTATTATTTTTTTAATAAAGCTTTCCAGTTAAGTCAGCATAAGCCGGCAATATTAAAACTTTTGTATAAAAGGCCTTAATTTATCAGGTCAATGTACTTTTAAAGAGTAATTAACATTAAATTAACTAACGGACGGACAGTACTAAACATTTTGATTTTAACTAAATAAGCTAAGATTTGCGCATATCCAAACAAACTGTGTACCTTAACAAGCATCTCTTTATATGTAATTATAATTTTTAATTTTATAATTTTAGTTAAAGAAAAAGATAAAAAATTACTTTTAGTCCAGTTCTTCTCAGGGCTGAGGGTCTTTTTCCGAACTGGTCTCTTCATTAAATAATTGAACTAATTTGAACGCTGAATAAAACATTTTGAATTTGAATTACATTAGTAGCTTTGACCACTAGTGGATTTTATTGTATTACTTTTTGATTAACTTTAAAATTAGAATAGATATTTAACTGAGGTGTTAGCCCTTTTTGTATGTAAAAAAATGCCATATCTATATAAAACGGTCATACGTCAAAGGTGCTTCAAATTAAATTTCACTTTAAGGGTGGGACAGTTTTAATAGAAATGATTTTAAAAAAATTCTAAATATACATGCACATGCTATAATTATTATAATTAAAAAGTCACAGATCAAATTATATTATATGATAGTAATTTGCTTCAGACATTTATAAAGTCAAAGTAAATATGTCCATATAATTAACCAGCCCAATGAGTTAATGTCTGACTAACTTGTTAATTAGTCTAAACAATTATAATTCTATGTGATATTGTCATGGCTTAATTATAATTTACCCATTAGTATAAACAAAATAATGCTTTCTTATAAAAATCTCATGTAACCTAAAATAATCCATGTACCTATACATATAATAAAAGTGTAACTGATCACTGTCTGTACATGGAAGATATTTGATAAAAACTATTTTTGGGTGTTTTTTTATGCAATAGAACCAAAAACAATGATTTTTAGAATTTTTCTCTATTTGTATGTGCGTTTGTGCGCGCTAATCTCAGAAACGACTTATCTGATTTGGGTACGATTTTCACTAATGTATTGTAAGCTTCAATTTCTTCTGTTTTATTTCAATCAGTTCATAAATAAAAAAGTTATGTTTAATATTTAAAGAATTACCAAGGGAAGAACCCAACCGAAGCGAGGGTGAGTCGCTAGTATTTACTATGTACGTGTAAAATAAAATATTTTTAGTCTCTTATATTTGTTTACGTGACATTAATTAACAATCTCATATATGCTTTAAGCTATTTTATCTAAATCCGCTTTAAAAGACATTTGTCTTTATTTTTCACTTTAATATTTGCGTTTGAAAAAAAGACAAAGTATGAATTAACTATCAGGCCTTTATGATTGTCAACCCCTATCGCAAAAGAGGGAAGTTATAAGTTTAACGTGTACATCTGTCTGTGGCATCGTAGCACCTAAATGGATGAACCGATTTTAATTTTTTTTTTGTTTGGTGCCTTGGACGAAAGCATCTTTAGGTATAAACAAAGAAAATCCGTTCAGTAGTTTGCAGGCTATCAGCTCTTTTCTAAACGATAATGTATGTAGATATGAACAACTTACACAGATCTAATCGATCCGAAACTTGATATACCATTACTTTAATGACATTGCAATGTTAAATATGAAATCTTTAACTGCCCCGGTGCTGTAGTGGCTAGCATGTACGGCTGCACACCCGGAGGTCCTGGGTTCGAGTCCAGGGTCGGGCCAAGTTTAGTTATAGGGTCTTTCTGTATATTAAGCCTCAGTAACAGCCCGGAGTTGGGAAGCTGGCGGTGTTTCACCCCCCGTGCCTCGGAGAGCACGTAAATCCGTCGGTCCTGCACCTTTACTCTCACTGGTCGTGTCTAGTGGTCGTCCCACCAGAGTATGAGAGTGACAGGAATGGAGAGTGCACCTGTGTCTGCGCGTACACTTGTGCACTATAAT